CCGGTCCAGGTGTCCCGGTGATGGACTGAGACCGGTCCAGGTGTCCCTGTGATGAACTTGTGGACCTGTCCAGGGTGTCCCCACCTCTCCCACAGTACCAGCTGGATGTGGGCACCAGTATTTTGTTACAGCGTAACATCTGGAACCCTCATAAAGAATGAATGTCGACAGTGCATGAAAAAGCTTAATGACAATAATAATCTGTAAACAAATGGACACATTTAAAACATAATTATTGTATTTAGGACCAAAAAAAACCAACAGTTTTATGTCTAGGTGTTCATAAATGTGAACACTCGTTTTGTTTGGGTCCGTGTTCAAACGCTGTTGTTGAAGCCACTGATTTAGTTTGTGCTGATTATTCATGCAGCCACAAAAACAACAGGTACCTGAATGCAGCACGGCTATTTTAGTAAACTGTATGGTTGTTAAATAAACGTGAACAAAATAAAAACAGTTTTATCTGCTGAACTGAAAGTAAATTACTTTCCAATAAACCGCGGTCTGTGCTCCGCTACCATGCTACCAATGCTGCTACTTCCTGTCTGACAGGAAGTTGTACCCATAACCATTCATACAGTAGAGCCCCCAGGAATAAGGTGGATAGTTTCATCTAACACAACGCCCATTCGAAGGGTCAATCTACCACAGGATGTATTTTTACAGGCTAACATGGCTACTCTCTCTCACTCACTCAATTTAAATATTTAGGTTATCTGTGAAGTCCGAGTCACACAAACAGCTGATACAAGTTGTTCATGCTTTATCAAGATTAATCCTTTAATTTGGTGTCCCGATAAAAATAAAAATAAAGTTTTAACTCCAAGTTGTAATTCTAATTACCAACTAAATTACTTGCCCAAATAAAGCTGAAACACCTTTTTCAGAAAGTTTTGTTCAAGTTGGGTAGAAGTTGAGGCGTGCAGTTCAAAGCGTTCAAATACGCACTTTTCTTGATCAAGAACAATGTAATGAAGTGAACTTTTAGTCAAAAGGTAGAATAAGATTTTGTGAAAGAAGTGTGTCCTTCATTCAACAAAATGAATCGCAGAAAAAAGAACTTTGGTCTCAAAAGCTCCTGTGAACCATTTTCAACATGAAAAAAACGAGAAGCGTCTGGAGAAAACCTTGAGGCCTGACGGCTCACATGGAGACGGATTTGTTCTGTTTATCCAACGGAACAAACGGGTCAGGTTTTTATGTTCTTTTTCTTTGTGTAGAACACTCGGATGTCTCGTTCTAAAAATGATGTGAGCCCAGATTTCTAATTTATCCAGAAAATTACCTGAACAGCTTTCTGAGACTGGATGTCGACTATGAGCACTCGGTCCAAGGTTGGCTGCGTCACATAAATAAACTTGTCCTTGACGTTGACAGCTGATGACCACACGCACCTCTGGACCGTGTCTCCAGGTGAGGTGGGGCACACCTCCTCCTGCAAAACCAAAAGCACACACGTTCTCCGTTAGCTAATTTTGTTACATATTACAGAAAAATACAAGACATTAAAAACCAATTACCTTCAGCAAGTTGTTTTTCTGTTTACTACCTCGGTTTTATCACTTACACTGACGTGAGCTGCCTTATCTTGGCAACTTAGATAAATTAGCTTCACAGGTTCCTGCAAAATCTCTGTAATCGGCCTCATTTGTCCACATATAATTCAGAGAACAAAGCCTGCAGATGATCTGCAGCTGCTCACACTTTCCTCCTGGCAGCTCCAGTCTTCCTGGCCAACAGGAAGCTTCCAAGCCTTCTGTCTCAGGAGCTTTATCCCCTTCACCCTCTTTACGGTCATCTAAAACTTCAGGCTGTTTCCAGGCATCTGATCCTAGCTCAGTGGGACAAATTATGCCACGGCCAGCCAACAAAGGATGGATGTAGGGCTCCACCACGGTGAGATCCAACCGAGGTGTCGGTCCATGACAAGTGCCACAGAACAGCCTCTCTTTGTTCAAGTTCACTTTTTTATTTATGCACTTCACTAAAATACATTTTGCTGCAGGTTTCCACTCAAGGCCAAATTAAGGTGATATAAACAAGACGAGGAGAAAAGGTAATTGTTTCTTAAGCTCTAATTCTCAGAGCATCCAATCTTGACATTTTCCAGTGTTTCTGATCCAAAAGGAATTGGAGGCGTCGATCTTGAAGCTCAGAAATTCCTGCACTCGCCGATATAAACGTTGAGTTATTGTAGTGAACTCTGCATTGCCCCTGCAGACCCACGCTGTGGTCCTTTGATGCTATGGGCTGCAAATATCCTACTTATTGCACTTTTAAGAGATGAGAAATGGAACATCTGACACCCAGCTGAGGGTGTGAATGGAGGCGGCTCCTTTCCTCCTCGTATTTGTCAGCCTGTGCATTTCATGTATATGGTTTTAGATAATATTTTACAGCATTTAAAGATATTTTCTTTTCTCTGTTATGGACATTTTTACACTCTTGATGCACGTTAAAACACTTTTCATGGATCCTAGAAGTAGAAAATTAGCAGAAACATTAAAATGATGCACCTATTCAGAGTCAGAGTCAGAGTGAGAGTTTCTTTATTGTCATTCGCACCTCATGTGGTACATGTGGTGGAGCGAAATTATGTACACAGGGTCCCAGTTACATCCAACAATAAAATGTATAAGAAAAACAGTAATAACATCTAAGATATGAACTAAGAAAAACATCAACTAAATATACACTAAGCACTCATAACATAAAACATTGAACATCAGCACAAACATGAACATGAGTCTGTGAGCAGATGTGCACGCATGAACACATCAACATTGAAACAGATCAGCAGCAACATGAAACAGATCAGCAGCAACATGGTATGGTTTTTCACAGTGATTATTCTAGTTAGAGATTCATGAGTCTAACAGCCTCAGGGTAGAAGCTGTTCCTCAGTCTAGTGGTTCTACACCTAATGCTCCTTAACCTCCTTCCTGAGGGGAGTGGGGCAAAAAGTGTGTGTGCTGGGTGAGTGGGGTCCTTCATGATGCAGGTGGCCCTCTTCCTGCATCTGGAGGTGTAGATGTCTGTGATGGTGGGGAGGCTGATTCCAACAGATTTCTGTGTAGCCTTCACCACTCTCTGCAAAGCTTATGTTGAAAGGATTTTGACTCCTTTTCCTCGTATGACATTTAAAGGAACACCAAGAAATACAAGGGTTGTGATGTTCTACACAGAAGCCATAGAATATTTTAAATGGCTAAAGGGCTCAGTCTTAGGCCCCCTCCTCTTTGTGCTGCACCTACTCCTTTTTGGCTCTATTTTTAGATCTGCTTTCATTGTTACGCAGATGATGCACAGATATATGTCCTGCTAAAGCAAAAGGACTGCAACTCTCTGGCCCCTCTGTTTTCATGTCTGGAGGACATCAAAGCCTTGATAGCTGAGGACTTCTTAAAGTTTAATGAGGAAAAGACTGAGGTGATGGTCTTTCAAGGCTCCCCTGGGACTCCCATTTTAGATGTTGGTTCCTTGGCCCAGTACATCGGGACAGCTGTTACAAACCTGGGGGTCAAAGTCGATGCTGGACTAAAATTAGAAAACCACATCAGAGCAGTTGTTAAATCTATTTTTTTCCATCTGAGGCAGCTAAAGTGAAGCTGATTCTTTCTCCACAGTATTTCAAACAGTAATCCACACCTTTGTGACCACTCGGCTGGACTACTGCAACGCACTCTATACAGGAATCAGTGACTCATGTATCTCAGCTTCAGAGGGTACAGAATGCTGCTGCGTGGCTTTTAACTGGCAACACAAAGGGTTGACCACATTTATCCTGTTTTTTCCTCCCTGCACTGGCTGCCCGTACATGTAGTGTTCTAGAAAAGTGCAGTATGAATGGGTAAATGAGGGCACAGCTTGTTGTGTAAAGCACTTTGAGTATCTGGATAAGATAGAAAGGTGCCACATAAATGCAGTCCATTCTATGATTCATAAAAAACAACTGCTTTTAAAGCCCTTAATGGACTTGCCACGCCCTATCTGTCCGAGTTGCTACATCCGTACACACCCTCTGGATCCCTCGGGTCATGTGATCAGCTGCTCCTGAGTGTAAGCTCAGAGGAGACGGTGTTTTTGCTGTGGAAGCTCCTAAACTGTGGAACGACCTTCAGTGAACGTCAGACTCTTCCCTGTCTGTTTTTAAATCCCTTCTTAAAACCGTCTCTTCTCCCTGACCCCTGACACCGTCTGTGATGTTGAATTTTAATTATTTTAATCATTCTTGATTGATTGTTTTATTTTGTGTACAGCACTTTGGTCCTGTGGGTGTTTGAAGTGATGTAAAGCTGGTATGTGGTATTATATGGTAAATGTGGTGGGAAGGGAAACTCCCTTAAAACAGAATTATGATGTGTAAAGAGAAACGGCAAAGACGGAAGAAATTAAATTTTTCTTCTTTCTCCCATGTCTAAATTCAAACTGGTGCCAAGTTCCTGGTGGAAGCAGCCATTCATTCCCAACGACAGCTAAATCAGTGGGAGTTGAAGCTTTGTAGCACCTTAGTTTGACATGAGGATTTACTAAACATAGAGGCTTGTAATTGGATTGCTTCCTTGTGTTTAAAAAAACAAACCGTGGGAGACTATGAACAGATTTTAGCCGTACGCCCAACTGTTAATTCGTGCTGAAGCAGCATGCTGCTCATCACAGTTTACAGTAAACAACATCCCACTGAAACACCAAAGACTCAAAATGCTTCTGGTGACAGAAATGCAAATGAGCGCTGATGAAGTCCTTTGAGCTTTGTACAATGTTAGTGGCTGCCTTCCAAATTATACTGTTCAAAATACTGATTATTATGATATTTGTGTTCACACACCATATATTCATTTATCTTAATTGTGCATTGGCAATACAAACTTGGTGTAAAACTCTAAAATGTGGCTAAAATGGGTTCGAAGTCCCAAAAAAGTGCAGGTGCAGTTCTGTGCAAGGCTACAAAACATCCCTTCCTTTATTTTTTCTGTCCACAAACCATCTAAAGCCAAAGTTCAGCCAGAAGAACAGCAGACATGAGGGGATTATTTTATCATATTCAAACATTAACTTTTACTTTTTCTTATTCATAGTGCATGCTGTACCAGGGTTCCCAGCATCTCATGAAAACAACATTTCCTGAGTATTCCCTGATCTTTGTCTGAGTAAATCTTGAACTTCCAGGAGATATTTTAGTCACACGAAATGCTCAAAAGTTACGGACAGAGGCACAGAGGTGACGGGAAGGAAACTGCAGCCTACGGAACGTGCACAAAGCCATCACTCCTAATAATTTATTATACTGCGCAACATCAAACACTAAAAAGCCACCACAGTCGATTATTAAGAACACATGTACTGTCTGTAGGAGCCGAACATGGACTCGGTGATACATTAACACATGAACATGTTAAAATCATATTTGAATCAGCAGATCACAGTGTTCAAGTCCCATGAGTTTTCTCTGTCGGAAAATGTGAACATCATTTTCCAGGTTTTCCCTGATTTCCAGAGTTGCAGGGAACCCTGTGATGCAGACACAAACCTGCTGCTGACCAATAATCATGGCGGATCATTAAATAGATCACTTTATGACGGCACGAAGGCTTAATGAACCCATGCATCTAGATTTAATCCCAAGACTGAATCGATCCACGGCTGCTTTCAGTGCAGACGCATCGTTCATGTGAACATCCGTGAATCTGTATGAATGGGTTATTCTTCACATCACTAATACTGTGAATGTGTCTTGATGTAATTATATGGAAATGAAAACAGAAAACTCCGGACTAACTTTTATTTTTGTCCAACAAACTCCAATGTGTTAAAAAAGGCTTTTATGTTCTATTATTTTGAAGAGGACAATAAAAAATGTTAATTAAAACCAGAAAATAGTACATTTTGCTTTGACTTACTAAAGCAGCAAACGGCTAATAAGAGGACGGATCAACCCAGTTTGTGTGATCGTCTGTCCGTTCATGTGACTGCAAACTTGTGACGTTTAAAACGATCCGTGCACGTTACCAGGATCCAACCAATTCAGATTCTTGTAGCAAAATAAAAGGAACCAGGGAGGTAATTCATAAACGACACTGACACGTTCAGCTGCTGTCTGATTAATGACGAGCAGAGCATGTCTGAATAGGATTTTACATAATGAGACTCGCAGTGAACAACAAAGCAGTTCCCAACACTAACACAACCTCTCAGATCCTCGTTTCTGTTGCAGAGACCAAGTGCTTCCAGGGCTGGCTTTACAGCGCCTGAATATCAAGGTGTTTTCCTCACTACGGCGTGTATCGCAGAGTGGGATTTAATACTAGATGGGCTGTGAGATTATCATAACAAATCAATCAATGCTCGTCTGTGATGGAGAAAATGTGAAGCGCCACGCTGGGAATGTCTTCGTGCAGTCCAGCGAGACGGTACCGGAGCCGACATCACAACACTCGTGGTGATTGATATCCTAATACTAACACACCTCTCAGAGGAACACTTGGCTGATTGTTGTGCATTCATGGCTTCGTTTTATGTATAACCACCGTCCAATCAGCACGAGGCTCCCGGATGAAAAGCAGCTCGGAGGAAAATGTCTTTTTGAAAACACGTAAATCTAACAGGTATCCATCAGTTTACAGCTCCCAGTGCTGTTCGGCCCCAGAGCGCCTGTGATGAACGGTGATTTAGAGGGGCAGCTGGGTGTAAAAAATAAAAAATAAAAGTCAGCGGCGAGGTGAAAGCGGCTCTGATTGTATGTAGTCTGTCAATGAATTGAGTTAAACGGTCTGACTCGATGCTGTACAGTGGCCCCCCGTGTCCTTTGGGCACCGTTTTCTGTAATAAACATCCCTGAACTGTACAATGTAGACTGATCTTTAACTCCACGCCAACTGCAGCAATCAATATTCATAAATATACTGGATAAAAAAGAAGGCAGCCATGACTTAATCTACCTGTACAGTGTTAGCAGTTCACATAGTTTGAGCTCTTAATTTCTACATTTACCGTAATTTCTGGACTATAAGCTGCACTTTTTTCACATTCGTTGAACACCACAGCTTATACGATGTTGTAGCTAATTTACAATTTTTTTTTTTTACTGGTTAACGAGCTTCATACCACCAAAACATTTAGCCTCGCCACACCTGGGTGCTCACATAGCTGCTCAACGTCTCTCTTGGGGGTGCATCCTTGTGACTCAATGAGACTACCTGTATAAATAAAGGTTAATAAAAAATCTGACCCATGCAATTACCGAAGAGGACACAGTGGACCAATGACACGTGGGGGGAGGGGGACTCCCCTGCATGTGCAGAGCAACTTTTGCTCAGCTGCCAGTGGATCCAGACAGTGGAGCAGGAGGAAGGTGAAGATGGCGATCAATGACTTCCTGGTTGGCTGCTGTATTTTTTTTAACCAACCGTGTTACCGGCACTGCTCAGAAAACATTTTCTGTACGTATTAATTTATGTTTCGGGTATGTGTTTAATTAAAAGTTTAAAAATATATATGTCTGTGTATATATATCTCATGCTACAACATGGACACCTTATAGACAAGCGTAGCCTATGTATGTACATTGTTTTTGTGGGAGTGGCTTATATTCGGGTGCGCTCAATAGTCCAGAAATTACGTTATTTGTTTGACTAAACCTTTGCGTTTGGAAAACATCCACAACTCTAATGGATCTATGTTTCTTGTGGACACATCTGGTCTGTCAGTTTCTTTCTCTTCAGGTTTTCAGTGAAAAACATCCCAGATGTTTCTGCTCTGCAACATATCACAGCTCACAATTTAAGAAGTAAGGGGGAAGACGACGGCGTCATCTTTTTGGGAGAGTTGGACATCATCACTTTTTATCACACGTAGACTTGAGGACATAAAGATAAACTATATTGCATAATTATATAATTGTTTAAATGCTTATTCGTCATTTCTACTAATTATTTTAGCCATTTATCAAAATGTTTAGCTTGATCAGGACAACGTGCTATGACGTTTTGCTATTTAACAAATGTACTTTTAAAAATATTAATTTACAAAAAAAAAAACATGGAAATGCATTGGTATTGCTTCAGTTTCTTCAAGAACGTTGTTTATTTTTATTTATTTATAATTTAAATCTGCTTCAGAAAACTGGATCTGTTCTCGTTTACTTCTTTTAGTTGTAATTGACCATTCTGCTATTCTTAACAAGCCGTTTTCTTTTATCTTATAGATAACCTTTGGATATTTTGAACCGTTAGCTTGCCTTTGTCTTCTTTTATCATTTAGCTAGTTTTTTTTTTTTTTTTTTTGCTAGTATCCTGTGTCCTTTAGCTTTTAGCTAATCTTATGACACCTTTAACTTTTAGCTACTAAATTTCAGATTCTTCAGCAAATTTCAACATCTTCATTCTGTTTTCAGCATAAAAGCCTAAAAGTAATAATGATAATAATAATGATAATAATGTCTGAGCTGGGACAAACACCAGCACACTCTGAACATGTACCTGCTAATCTGCACTAGAACAGAAATCACAGCTGTAATTTCAGTTTCAGCTAAATAAGTTGTTGGTCTCACAGGTTTATTGAAAGATTTTTAGGTCAAACATTTTTGTGAATCCATCTTAAAGATGCAAATAAAGCTTTGCTCATAATGAGCCTCCACTTGATTGTCTAATCTGAATCTTCATTAAGTTGAACAGATATTACAAATCCTGGCAGGAGTAAATCTGAAAAGTTGATGTGGAATTTGAACAAGTTTCTTGTTTTTGCACAAAATTAAGAAAAAACTAGTATTTTTCTAAAACAAAATGATTGCAATAAAGTAATGGTCAAATATACTGTAGTTTGTCATATTCTACACAAGAGTTTTTGATCATAATATAGATGAATGCAACTTTTAAAATATGCTTCAGAGCACATCTGCAAACAAAACATTGCAGCTAATTGATGAATTTTTAATATTTCCACCAGAGGATAAAATACAGACTTTAGCCGGTTGAATATTTTGCTGGTTTAAAGTTTTCATGTGGCATTAAAATAGTTTAAACTAGAAATATATATTTTTTTAGGAAGAGAGACATGAGATTTACAGAAAACGCTGCACATTTCCATATTTAACCATTCACCTGCAGAGACAGCAGCTTCTCGCTGGGCTTTATGTGTCGCTGGATCTCACACGCCACCGGCTGAACGACTTTGATCCCGTCTTCGTAGAACACATAAAACATGTTTCCAATCCCGAGACCTGCAGGAGAACAGCAGCAGCTCTGTTACATATCTGATCCTGAGACAGCGCTGTGTGAACATACAGAAAAAGTTATCTTCTATTAAAGTAGCAAATCATTTAATCCTTCTCATCATGGTTCAGTAACTCTATTACACAAATTCAATTAAGTCAGGTTAATGAATGTTATGGAGGAACAGGAGGGTTTCAGGCATACCTTCTTCACGCCACAAGATGTTTGCCACTGTGAAAAGAGGAAAATAGGAAAGCATAGTTTAAAATAAATGCAAGAATCAATAGGGTGACTATGAGAACTAAAACCCAAACACCAACTCCTGCTGAGGCGAAGCAGACAACATGAAAGTTTTATGGAAAGTGTCTTTGGCTCCTACAGCAACAGACAATCGATCGAATCCGCTGCTTGGAAATAATTTGATACCAAACACTAGAAAATAGAGTGCAGTCAACAACTGGTGCGGTTGAACAATTTACAACTGTGGATGCTGAAAACCTGCGAAAAGAAGAAAGCAATAAAACCATCAGATAATCGTCCATCAGTACGAGCCAGAGACACCCATAAATACTCTACAAGACTCAAATGATTATCATAAGTCATTAAGAGGAGGTTATTGTACTCCAACGTTTGTTGCAAAACCATTTTTGGCTCCTAGAACAGGTAATTTTTCATTTAATTCACTAAGAGGTGACAAAATGTAGGACGAACGCCACACAACACCCAGCGTTCTTTAATGGGTGACGTAAAACTGACAGTTTGCTTTCAAAGCAGCCTCTGGATGCCCTTGAAGAGGAGACACCGTCCGTCCGTCCATCTTCCGCTTGTTCCCGAGTCAGGTCTCGGGGGCAGCATCTTGAGCAGGGAGGTCCAGACATCTCTTTCCACAGCCACCTCTTCCAGCTCTTCTGGGAGGACCCCAAGGCGTTCCCAGGCCAACCGAGAGATGTAGACTCTCCAACGTGTCCCGAGTCTTCCTCGGGGTCTCCTCCTAGTCAGATATGCCTGAAGCACCTCCCTAGGGGAGGCGCCCAGGGAGCATCCATATGCCCAAACTACCTCAAGTGGCTCCTTTCGATGTGGAGAAGCAGCGGTTCTACTCAGTCTCTCCTGATAACTGAACTTCTCCCCCTGTCTCTAAGGGAGAGTCCAGCTACCCTGCAGAGGAAAATCATTTCAACCTCCTGTATCCACAATCTCATTCTTTCAGTCTCTACCCAGAGTTCATGACCAGAGGTGAGGGGAGGAACGTAGACCAACCAGTAAACGGAGACCTTTGCCTCACAGCTCAGCTCCCTCTTCACCACAATGGACCGGCACAGAGTGCACAATACTGCAGACGCTGCACCAATCCATCTGTTAATCTCGCGCTCCATTCTTCCCTCACTCGTGAACAAAACTCCCAAATACTTGAACTCCTCCACTTGAGACAGAACCTCACTCTGGACCCGAAGAGAACAATCCACCCTTTATGGAGATGTCATTAAATGACTAAATTAGTAATGAGGTGAGAATACACACATCTATAGTTACCTTCCATACAAATATGAAAACAAGTCCCTGATTTCAGTCCGATTTTTCCTCCATCACCATTCTCTCACACTGACTCGTTCACTGTGACCTTCGCTCGCTCTTCATCTGTCCAGCCAGCGTTCTCCCTGCCTCCATTTTCAGTCTGCAAACCAATCTGCAACCCAATTCACATCCGATTATAATCTTGCCTCCATTGAAATGCCCATTCTCCCAGCCTCTATTTCAAGTGGACGGATGCAGAGAAAGGAAAAAATGGTGAGACAATGGCAGCGAGATGCCGCTGTTAGTCAGCTGTAACATTTCAAAAGTGCTTTGTCAAGTGTTTCCAGTGCACTCTTGCATACCTTTTCCCTCATTAAAAGTTCCACAAAAGAAGTGAGTCTATAGATGGAGGAACACGGAAGGAGTGAAGGGAAACAAGGACGAGTCAAAAAGAAAAACAATACAATTTATTTGAGATCTGCCAAAATGGAAAATGAAGAAAATAGAAAGGAGGAGTTGAGATGAGATCTTGTGCGCTTCGGTCTTTTCAAATAGCCTAAAGTATTGAAGCAATTTATCACTGGGTAGAGAGACTGTGGCTGTTCTGCGCATGCGAGGGGCCCATACATCAACTTCATCATCCATACAACAAAACAAGCTGGCTGCCACTGTAGGCGGCGAGTTCACTCTTTCTGGCCGTAATAACCATGTTTCCACTGGGCTCCAAACATCAGGGACGACGCTTTCACCCGCCAGTCTGGACGCTGCAGTTTGTACCCGTCAGCAAGGTTACACAAATTCAATTTGTTTACAAGAGCACGCTGCTATGACAGTGGTCCAAACAGCCTGTGGTGTTCACTGCAGCGGCATTGTAGGAAACCGTGAATGCATAATATAGGAAGATAATTGGATTACAGAACATGAAGAAGAAAAACTCAAGCTGTAACTCAAGTAACTCAAGCGGACTGCTGTGAGTGCGTAGAATTTGTTCTTTTTCAAAGATTATCAGAAAAGTGAGCCACGTGCTGTGATTTAATTAGAGGTACTACACCAGAAATGATGTGAGCAGCCTTCTGACTGCCACAGCCACATGAGGAAACCATTAGGAAGTGGAAGAGTAATGCTGGGGAACAGGAATAAACAGTGTGGGTCTAAAGGTCCTCTGAAAAATAAACTGAAGGCTTCTAGGAACAAAAACGCTTAAATGTGTATCTAAACACTGTCAAAAAACATACATATGTACAGTGCCTTGTGAAAGTATTTGGCCCCCTTGAACTTTTCAATCTTTTGCCACATTTCAGGCTTCAAACATAAAGATATAACATTTATTTTTTTGTGAAGAATCAACAACAAGTGGGACACAATCGTGACGTGGAATTAAATTTATTGGATGTGTCAAACTTTTTTAACAAATAAAAAACTGAAAAGGGGCGTGCAATATTATTGGGCCCCCTTGCATTAATATTTTGTAGCGCGGCCTTTTGCTGCAGTTCCAGCTGCAAGTCTCTTGGGGTTTGTCTCCATCAGTTTTGCACATGGAGACACTGAAGTTCTGCCCATTCTTCTTTGAAAAGCAGCTGGAGCTCAGTGAGGTTGGATGGAGAGCGTTTGTGAACAGCAGTCTTCAGCTCTTTCCACAGATTCTCGATTGGATTCAGGTCTGGACTTTGACTTGTTCATTCCAACACCTGGATACATTTATTTGTGAACCATTCCATTGTAGATGTGTCTTTATGTTTTGGATCATCGTCTTGTTGGAAGATAAATCTCCGTCCCAGTCTCAGGTCTCTTGCAGACTCAAACAGGTTTTCTTCCAGAATGGTCCTGTATTTGGCCCCATCCATCTTCCCATCAATTCTGACCATCTTCCCTGTCCCTGCTGACGAAAAGCAGACCCAGACCATGATGCTGCCACCACCATGTTTGACAGTGGGGATGGTGTGTTCAGGGTGATGAGCTGTGTTGCTTTTACTCCAAACATATCATTTTGCATTGTGGCCAAACAGTTGGATTTTGGTTTCATGTGACCAGAGCACCTTCTTCCACATGTTTGGTGTCTCCCAGGTGACAAACTTTAAACAACACTTTTTATGGATATCTTTGAGAAATGGCTTTCTTCTTGCCACTCTTCCATAAAGGCCAGATTTGTGCAGTGTACGACTGATTGTTGTCCTATGGACAGACTCTCCCACCTCAGCTGTAGATCTCTGCAGTTCATCCAGAGTGATCATGGGCCTCTTGGCTGCATCTCTGATCAGTCTTCTCCTTGTTCCAGATGAAAGTTTAGAGGGACGGCCGGGTCTTGGTAGATTTGCAGTGGTCTGATACTCCTTCCATTTCAATATGATTGCTTGCACAGTGCTCCTTGGGATGTTTAAAGCTTGGGAAATATTTTTGTATCCAAATCCGGCATTAAACATCTCCACAACAGTATCTCGGACCTGCCTGGTGTGTTCCTTGGTCTTCATGATGCTATCTGCGCTTTGAACAGAACCCTGAGACTATCACAGAGCAGGTGCATTTATACGGAGACTTGATTACACACAGGTGGATTCTATTGATCATCAACAGTCATTTGGGACAACATTGGATCATTCATAGATCCTCACTGAACTTCTGGAGTGAGTTTGCTGCTCTGAAAGTAAAGGGGCCCAATAATATTGAACGCCCCACTTTTCAGTTTTTTAATTGTTAAAAAAGTTTGACACATCCAATAAATTTCATTCCACTTCACGATTGTGTCCCAGTTGTTGTTGATTCTTCACAAAAAAATTAAATTTCATATCTTTATGTTTGAAGCCTGAAATGTGGCAAAAGGTTGAAAAGTTCAAGGGGGCCAAATACTTTCGCAAGGCACTGTGTGTGTGTGTGTGTATATATATATATATATATGTATATATATATATATATATTGTTTGTATGATAGGCATTTTAATGTTATCTGGCAGATAACGGTCGATCATTGCTCATCAACTAGAGAAGAAGGTCTGAGTTTTGCTGTAACTAGAATTTCTACACATGCATCTTTTAAGAAAAAGTCAGTCTTAATAAACATCCCGACATTCTTCACTTGAGTTCCAGGAATCCAACCCATAAATAAATCTGTTCTATTTCTGGTTACCTGAATTTAAAACCCCGAGTGCTTCCTAAGAGGCTTTTCTGCAAGCGGCTCTGACTGAGTTGAGACCGTCCTGCAGTGTTTCCATAAAGAACTCCAGACACTTGTTTTAGAAGTTCTCTGAAGTTTTAGTCATGGCTCAGTTAAAAAGGGCACATCACATACACGATGTCTATGTGCCAGCGAGAGCTGAGCAAAAATTTACATAAATCTATGAGAACAGCATTTGGTCTGCTTCTCCATCACTCTCTAACAAATTAAATTTTCTCCATGCTCTTCTATGTTTTTTTATACGGGACAGCTGTTGTCATCAACGAGCCGTTACACTCATTTAGTCAGATACTGTAAATGTACAGACTGTCCTTTGCTGTCTGTATTCTTTATAGACTGGCACTGGTGCATAGTTTTGTTTGCCACTGAAGAGAGAACAAAGGTGTCTGTGGTTTATTTTAATGTGAGCACTAACAGCCTGAAAACTGGCATTAGCATGCACGGATTAGTGGAGTTTGACGACTGTTTACAGTTACGAGCTCATCCATTGCTGCTGGAAATGTTTTTTTTCTTTATATATATATATATATATATATATATATATATA